TTTATTTGAATGTCAAAATGTTTATTTACTAAAAATCAAGTTCAAATACATAAAAGTTATAATTTTGTGTTTATTGATTTCAATATGTATATGTAAAAAATAAGCTGTTTTTAATGATATATTAATATAATATTTGTTGTTCCTTATTCAAATATAACTGTTTATATATTGAAAATTATATTTATTGTTGTGTTTTTAATGTTCAAACAAAGTAAGGTGTAAAAAACTATTGGTTTATGATTTGAAACGAATGGATTGTTATAATGTTTTAAATATTTTTTTAATTTGGTGTTTTGTTGTTCATTAAAATACAAAAGACTTAATAATCATGTTTTTATTGATGTCATTATTTTTTTAACTGTTTGTATTCTATTATAAATTTGTTTAAATGTATTGTATTCCAAACAAATCAACGGTTTATATTTTTATTGTTTGGCACGTTGAATGACCAATGCTACTCATTTTACAATACATTTATTTTAACAATAAAAACAAAATAAAATATAAAATATTTTAACAATTATGTTGTACATTATTAAGTATCAACCAAATATTTAACCAATCGAAAGATAAATCGAATAGTTATCAATTTGTATTTTTGGTAACACAGATGATTTTTTAAAATAGAAATATTGTTAATTGTGATGCAATTTTTATGACATGTTGTAAAATGACCATTATTTTTCATGTTAATAATGCACGTGATATCATTTTATTCAATTTTTAATGTTTGTAATTTTTTATAAATCAAATATTAATTACAAGTTATTTTTTGTGATGTAATTTCAATTAAAACAGTATTGTTTAATTTTTGAATAATGTTTGTTTAATCGTGGTTTTAAAATATTTGATTTCGTCGATTTAGTTACAAAGTTAAATATTTAATTAATTATTAGAAATATATATTTGTAATTACAGAACAATAACTGTTCTGTAAATACAAACAGATGTTGTACAATGTAATTTATTTGAAATAAACAATTTATTGAATTATCGTTAATTATTTACATTATAGTTTATTTATTTAACATGTAAAAAAAAACGTTAATAATATTATGATATTAATTAAAATTGTCGTTGAATAATATGTAAATTTTCACTGAGTTAATTTTATGATAAACATCAATAAATGTATTTAATTTGTTAATTATTTTTTTTGGTTAATTAATTTTTTTGTGTGGTAATAATACTAGAAAAAAATGTTAATAATAATTAATATGTTAATTGTTTATTTTCGTTAATTTATATTCTGTTTTTATTGTGCTAATAAAACATAAAAAATCGATATATATTTACAAATAGTTAATTTATCAAAAACAATTTAATAAAAATTATTGAATCTTCTGGAATCACAATCAAATATAACATAATGTCCCGTTTATTTGCGTATTTTTAAAAATGGCTTTACCAAAGACGATTTTTTTACCGCAAAAAAACAACCTTTTCAGTCTTTTTTTCTTAAAAACAAATTTTTCCGAGGCATGCTTTAGATTAATAAAATGCAGTTATTAACACCTTAAATAACATTGTACAAAATTCAAGTGGTCTAAAAATTAAAATTCTTTAGTTTATTAAAAAGTTTAATGTTTTTTAAAGTTTATATACAGTAAAAAGTTTTTATTTGCGGTTTTTCAAACAGAGAAAAAAACTTATATTTGTGGGTTTATCATGGAACTGTGAAGTAAATTCTATTCACCATTTTTTATAAAAACGGTGTTATAGAAAATATTGTAGTTTTTTTAATTATAATAAAACTATATTATTTATCTCAGTGTACCTATATTCAAGGTTCGAAAATAAAATAATTAGTTGTGGGTTTTGCATTTGATTGGTCTATTGACCCACAAATAGACGTAACCCACAAATATAAAACCCATAAAAAGACACTTTTTACTGTATTGTGCATATACTTACACGAGCTAAAAAATTATTAAATATTTCAGTAATATTTAAATAATAAAAAATAATTTAAAATAAGTGTTATTTTAAATGTCAATAAAAACAAAAAAAACAGAAAATAAAACATTATTAGTGTATGTTGATTGGATACTGTTTCATACGATCATCATTTTTGATGTTGTTTTCAATTTTTTCTTCATTTATTTTAAGTAAATTGTAATATATATTAGTTACTTTATTTCCAAAATCCACATCATTTAAATTATCAAACCCAAAGTATAACATATTATTTTTAGTGGCAAACTCAAATATATCACATTCTGAAACTTGTCTATTCGCTTATATATCAGCAAAAGTTCCTATGAAAACATCAATAGATGTTTCACAATTTATTTCTTTTATTTTTTAAAAATTTTCTGTGAAATAATGTCAAATGATGTTTTGTTTGTTATTGAAAACGTGTAAAAATGATGTTTGAGCACCTTTGTGTAATTATATTTGTATTCACTATATTTGGAAACGCCAATAATATATTATTTTTGTATGTATTAATAATATTAATTGAACTCAAAAAACATCAAGCAGCTATTTGAAATTGTTAATAAAAAAACGTGATATTAAACTAAACAAACTTATAATATATTTCCGTTATTTTGTCAAAACGTTTGTTTTAAGCAATAAATGATCAGTTGTTGTTAACGACAGTAAAAACATCAATTTGAAATATTTTTAAATTTAAATATAGTTGTATGTAATAATAATTATGATGTGTATGAATTTATAAAACAACTTATTATAATTATATTTATTAAACAATCATATTAAAAATAATGTTGACGTAAAATTATTTTACCATGTAATCTTTTATTTTGGTAAAAAAATATGTATTTTACTTCGGTGGATCTTTTAAATCCAGCCTTTTTTATCTGCATTTATTTTCAAGTTATTCATTTTTAATCAAAAATAAAATCTAAAAAATGTTTTCACAATTACTTTTGTCGATTTAATTTATATTAAAGCGAAAAAATGTTGTTTGGTAACAAGTTTTAAATTTGAAACGAACAACAAAAAATGTTTTATATTTTAAATAACATTTTATTTAAAACATAAAACACAAAAACAAATTAGTTTATATTGTTTATTTTTGTGATTCAAAAGTGATTTTCAGTTTTGGTTATTTGAGCATCTTTCCTTGTAAATGAACACAACTCAAAAGAATTGATCGATAGGTTTACTCAATCAGCAGTAAATATTTTCTTATTTTCCAAAAACACTCTTTCGTGTGTTGTTTCTGTTGCCGGAATACAAACTTATCTTGTTGCCACATCGTAAAGTTTTGGATACATTTGTTTTCAATAAACTACCCACCACTTTCCAAGTTCATTAACAGCTCTTGAATAATAAAGAGTTGAATTATTCAAAAATAAATCCAACTCGGAATATTGAGTTGTCGAAATAAACCAGTTGTGTGACGAACAGAAACAACAATTTGGGTTGATGTATTTTCATTCGTATTCAAATATTTATTTAATATCGTTTTACTCTTTCCGAATAACTTTCTTGTGCAAGTATTGGTTGAATAAAGAAAATCGAACAATGTTGAAATAACCCATTGCTCATTGTTTATTACTTTTTTGTAGATGTTTTTCCATGAAATAGTAGAGTGCAAAATAGAACTTCATTTTAATAGAAAGACTCTCAGTGTCAATTTCAAACTTAAATATTAATTCTTTTAAATAAACACAGTAATTCGTTATTATTCCAAAATAGTTATTTCTATATATTTTTTCATTCCATTTAGCAATTCTTTTTTTCCACGGTGACTTT